ACACATGCAACATGCTTACATAATCCCAAGAGATGGACGATTCCTTTTTTTCAGTGTAGGATTTTCGACAGCATGCACATGAATGCCAGGACCCAACCTTGCATTTTAGTGAGATGATGTTACATATACACTTGGTATTCTGTACACTGGCTGGGAAAGCCACATAATATAGCATTAGATGAAAATATTGCTTTTTAAAAAGTAAATTAATAAACACTCCAACAAACTTAAGAAACATAAACAAATACAGCCATAGCCAAAGAAAGCCACAAAATAATGACAGAGAGCTGTATTTTGAAGAATGTGGCGAAACATTTCAGGGCTGTGTGGAAACGCTGCGCTCCCCCTTCTCACAGATGCTGCAGCTGTTGTGAGTATTCTTCTCAATGGATTTCTTTCTCTCAGTCTCGTGGAAAGCCCTCAGTGTTTGATTGCTGTTAATTCTTGTGCTTGCTCACAGCTCATACATATCTTGTTCCAGATCAGCTGGCTGTTTTGAGAAACACCTGACTGGAAAGTGTGGTCCCGGCTTACAGTTATGCAGGTTGGTCTTTCTTTGTCTAAAGTGAAAGGTGAGTAAGAGTAACATGTGCTTAATAATGTTGGCTTGTGCTGATCTTTCCTTCCTGCTTCCCCTGTGGAAAAGTGGGGAAAAAAAGAAGTAACATGCTGTAGCCTGTTACAAAACAGACTTCCAAATTTGGTCAAACTGACTCACTCATATTCGTCTCTCATTTCAGTTTTCCCACAATTACTATTTACACTCATATCAGCAGCTCTTCATGTTAAGGTTTGCCAATTTTAGGTCATTTCCATTTTGTATAATGTATTATGTGCCAAAATAAACTGCTCACTCTTTTATATTTAAAGTTTTCTTGAGCTTGTACCACTGAGTGGTACATGCTGCTCCAAGTAAATAGATACAGCAAAATCTTAGGTTTGTATGAATTTTAAAAGTTAGGTATGAACACCTTGAATCTTTATCACAGCCTGAACTCTGTTCGGCAAGCTTTGTTATAATTTCTTTAAGTAGTCTTCAGGAATTGTTCTCCAGGCTTCTCGAAGCACATTCAAAGTTAATCTTTGGATGTTGGCTGTCTTTTGTTCCTTTCTCTGTCAGGATGATCCCTTCAATAATGTTGAAATTAAAAATTTGGATTTATAAGATCTGCTGGCACTGATTTTCAGTCGATTTGGGATACCTCAGTCTTTTCTCCCTGGTGATCTTTCCGTAAGAATGGTTTTTGTTACAAACAGGCAACCCCATACCACACACAAAAAACGACTTCTTACTGTAGCTTTGTGCGTGTGTGTGTCTCTGTGTGTTTGTAGATTTAGTTAAAGAAATTGGAACAAATGTTGTGCTTTTGTAATAGTAAGTAGAATATAAAGTAATGAGGATAATGAGGGATGGATCAAGTCTTTTGGGCAGTACGTAATCATAGCTTCTAACACTTGCTTCATCACAGCAGTAGCAATAAAGTCTTAAATGTGTTTTAACCTCCACATACGTTGTGTACTATATAGTATATATATTTTTTAAACAAAATGCAGCAGCACAATGCTGTAACATCACCTCACAACAAAACAGGCCTTTTTACCTGCAGGTATTTTCCTCCAGGGTCTCTTTTCCCACAGTGCAGAAACATATGTGTGAATAGGTTAAATGAAAAATAGCTGTAGGTGTGACTGACACATTGATGAGGTGATTGAAGTGCTGTGCGAATGGCTGAATGTGGTGTACTGTACAGCACTTTAAGTGGCCGGTGCGACTGGAAAGGTCCAGTTTAAATGATATTTCATTTCAGTGTGTCATACTTTTTGACAGTGCTGTGTTCACTGTCCTTGGACTGCACAGTACCTCTGAGCTTCCCATTCTATACATTTGACATAGACTACAATTGACTGGTCATGGATATCAACACTCTCTCCCTCTGCTCCTGTCACTACTGATCACTGCTTTCTTAACATCTCCACTCACTGTGCCTTTCCTAAACCATATTGTTCATCACTTTGCCTCGATAAACGTGAGCTCCGTTCTTTGTATTTCTTTTTCACCACAAAAGATGAAACATTTACGAACCCCGTGGCATAAAAACAAAAACACCAGCTGTCTCTTTGCCTTGTGCCTCCAACTTCTCCATCCACTCTCTCTGCCCAACCTCCCACATTGTGAATTCATGAACTTCTGCTCTGCCATTCCTAATCACCACTCAAGGAGCAGCAGTGTGATTTGTCAGTGCGACGCAATGTCAGGATGATAGTAAATGGTCTCGGGTTTCATCTGTACTGACAGCACGAAGAGCATAATGTAGCCCCCCGGAGGATTTTGTGAGGTGCAAAGAAAGTCTTTCACTCATACAGTAGGAATGGCGCACCTTTCAGAATGAATTATGTTGTTAAAGAGTTTTGGTGAGACTGAGAACCAAGGAGATCCATTGTGAGATATTTGTAAAGAGAAAGCAACATGTTTGAAAACCACACCAGTGTCGTCTGTGATTGGTAATGACACTGAGGAATTCACGGGCAGCGTTAGAGAAAAGACAAGTAAAGCAGAGCAAAGGAAACTGATTTAGTTTAATCATTTCAGCTCCTTGTAGTCCTCTCTGCCATTTCTGCTCTCAGGTCGTTTCCACTCCTTCTGACAAAAACGGAGAACACTCATTCACCAGGATGGAAAGAGGGCTGCTGCTGCTTTTACAAATTAATTAATTCAGCTCTTAAACACTCGCCCCGCTTGTGGCCTCTTGTGTTACTTTCCCACGTCTGTTTGTCCTTCTGAAAGAAACGACATTTGAGGACCTTTGTCCAATCACGAGCCCCCGAGGACTTTTGTTGAGCACTTCAACAAAACTGCCAGTCACAATGACTTCAATCACAATCGGTCACCAATTTGTAAAATCTGCTTGTAAATTTTAATTGTCCTTCTCTTTAGCAATTTTGTAAACCTAAGAAATGCATTCATGTAATCTTTGTCAGCTTGCTTTCATTGTCATGTGAATCGTTTGTCTGCACAGTTAGTTAGCAGTGCGTCGTTGTTACACCAAAAATCTTCTCTGCATACAATTCAAGCAATCCTTTGTTTTAAGTTAGAATGAGTCAGTTAAGTTTACACTGTTATTGTTTTGACTGATGCATTTTATTAAAGAGTGCCTAAAAAAAGCAATATCTGCTCCGGTTAATGATTAATGCATGAAAACATCATAAATGCAACAAACTTTTGAACTTCAAGGTTGAACTGATCATCTTTGGATTAATGTGAATAAACTTTATATGTTAGGATTTCTGAACCATGTTTTAAATGCAATCTGATTTCGGCCATCTTTTAATCATTAAAACAGAGAACACAGCCTCAAAATGACGTCATATTAATGGTGGCTGAAAGCAGAAAACAAACACAGCATCATCCTTGGCAGCTTCTACTGACTTACTTCAACATAGATCATCATGTGCAAGTTGCATTTCTGCATGTATACCATTATACCTGATTTTTTTTCTCTTTGATTTAAATACATCTGTTATATTGTTTAAAGGTACAAACATGAGAACGCACAGATACTGTTGCAGCATTTCTGGCAACAGAAAACCAAAGAATGTCAAATGGAAAAAATCCCTCCAAACATGTTTGTGTACTAAAAGATACCGAAAAGTGCCCAAAGAGAAGAAGTAGAAACATCTTTTTTCCATCAGTGAACATCAGTATTTACTCGAAATATGACCTCAATTTCACGAAGCACGATACCGCTAGAATGAGATGGAGGCTACCCCTTGTCAGCCTTATGGTCTCATTTATCTGCCGTCATTTTGCAAGTTATTTTGATAATTTGCCCAGTGATAGATTAATGTTTGTGTTACTTCACGAGAGACTTTTAAAGCAATGGTAATTACCGTGCATGTTTCTGTTCTTTGCAGTACAGACTGATTGAATAATAGTTCTGGACAGTGTGCAGTACACAGTTAGGTATCTCTCCAGTTCTTGAAAGATATTGCATTGTGGTTTTAAGTGCACTTTCAGCATATATTCAAAAACAAGACAGTAGGTGTTGTTTGGAAAGTTTAAAAAGCTCCCAAGTACTAAAAAGGAACAAACAATAAATTTTAAAGACATATGAATATTTGTGGGCTCCACAGTGATGTTGACAAGAGCTAAGAGGTGGCTCAGTTTTATGAGCACACAGTGTGTGGGACTCTTTCCATGCTGCAAACAAGCATTTCCAAAAGACCCGGGGTTGCAGTAACACAGACACCTTGAATGGCTCTTTCTCACTCTGCCGTGACCTCTGTGTTCACTTGAAAGTTTGCTTGTGAATAGATGCACATAGGAGGAGGGGGTGTTTGAACTCCACAACTTAATTAAAATCATCACAATGGTGCTTAAGAGGTTAAAACAGAGAACTTGCTTAAAAGTGTTGTGGAGGAAAGAAATGTAGAAGGGGAGATCTTTTTGATTCATTCATAGTTCATAAATTTGTGGGTCTTTTGACATCTTCAGTCCCTTGAAAGAGGGACATCTTCCTCCTTCTGTCCTGTGAAACCCACAGCTCGCACAACATACACAAAAATAGCTTTTGCTACTTTTAGAAATTGGGAGCTTTTTATTTTTGTGAAAGGAATGTTCTGGGGTTTATCAGGAGTTTGCCTTGAGCACATCAGCATACAGTCCAGCTTGTGAGTCCTTAGTTTTTGCTACACGCTGCAGTAACCTTTCTGTGTTTGTTATGTGCTGCAATTGAGAAATATTTACAGAATGTGGGTGGAATTAAAGTGGGGGTTAAGATTTTATTGTTGTCTCCTGAAGTTTTACTCAGCTGTGTGTTCAAGCTGTTAGAGTGCCATCACTAGCAGATGATGATAAATTTGTACTATAAGTCATCTTCCAGGTGCGTCTGTTTGGAGAGTGCTCTGTTATGCGTAAAGAAGGGGCAGGTCACTTCTCGCTACTACAGCTCTCCCTCTCTCCCTTCTGTTGAGGCGTGGTATTTCTCTCTCCGTGGCTGTAACAGACTTCTGCGGGGCAGCTGTTGGAAGTGAACTGCTGTAGCTGAGTCAGTAAATCTTCTCACCAGCCCAGGCTCAGTCACTAAGCTGGTGTGTCAGAGAGCCATTTACGTGCTGGGGGGGAATTACACTTCCAAGTCAAATGCTGGCATCGTGAGAAGAAGGATCCGTCGGATTTTCCCCTTTTAAATTCTGTGGGAATATTGTGTTTGACAGCTCCTGTGTACAGCTTCAGCTTAAGGCTGGAGGACATCTCCTCGGGATGATGAAGATATTTTCACCTTGCTCTATCATGATTATTGTTGCGCTACTTGTCGCCACCGTCTCTGCCACCAAATTAAACGTGCCACGGCTGAGACTGTCCCACAAAGGTAATCTATCTATCTATCTATGGGCAAAAGCTCTCCATCACTATTTTATGCGCTTGGTTTTTTCCTGTTGTTTGTTTTTTTCGGGAGAAAAGTCTTGGTTGTGAAATATTTATCTGATACTTGGAGACGCTCCAATAACCACTTCTTGTATTTTGCGCATTTTCTCCTCAAACCACTTATCGTCTCCGTGGTGGTCTGAGCTGGAAGAGCTAAATTGCTTTTTTTTTGGGCTACTGTTTCAGGGAGTTAATGCGCTTTAGGAGACGCACATGTATGCATTTGCTGGTTCGCAGGTTGAAACAGCTCGCAGTACAAGCCGGGTGCGCAGCAAGAGGAGAGAATTTGGCTGAGGCTCGTCTTTCTGCGGTCAGACACACCGCGGCGATCGTCTCACTATAAAAGTTTATTAGGGAGGGCAACTGCGACGGAATAGGTACCTAAAACGAGGATGTTTGATAATTAACATTTTTGCTGCTAAATTGTTATAAGCACTGGAGAATTTAGCAAGACTTGGTCTTTTTTTGTTGTTTCTTTCGTTTTTACTGCAGTCGTCCTCACAGGTGGATTTTGTGCGTCATTGTGTGCAAGCTGTTTCGCTGCCGTAATCACAATTCTCCAACAAATGACTGTACTAATTGCTTGCTTGATGACAGATTTTTTACTTGTTTACCAAATATTTTTCCTTAGCATTGCCATATCTTTTGGCTTGTTCCCACATATGATCTCTTCCTTTCCTGGCTCTAATCTAAGCCCGGTTGTTGTCTATGACTCACCCAAGTTTAATGATAATGAGGCAGTAAAGTGTATGAGTGGTTAGGTGATGCTTGACTGGGTTTTTGCCAAACTATTGTCATTGTTTCGTTTCACTCAGGCTTGAATGATTCTGTAATCATCATCAGCGATAGATATCACACAGGATTTCCTTCTGTTCATTTTTTCAGGGGAAAAGTCACCAACTGAGCTTGCTTGTCTTCCTGTTGCCTGGACTGAAAATAAATACAAGTGGAAGAAAGAGAGCGAGAGAGGCTCATAGAAAATAGGGAGAGAAAATGGAAGTGGTTTTTAATATTGAGGTTAAAGGGCAACAAGAGGAGCAGAAGTTAATAAATGGCATGAAAATCTGAATTTGTTTAGCATTTTAGGAGAAGAGGCAGGGAGGAGATACTTCTGTTACAGCGCAAATAAAGTCAGGCCCCAGGCAAACACTAGAAATGGAAAAAGCTCATGATTGTGACTCACTGTATTTGCTCATGCAAAGCCTAGTTTGCAAATCCCATATTTTCACTTTGGTGGTGCAATAAGCAGATCCATATTGAGCCATTTTTCTTCATAGCTTGCCATCGAAAGACACTCACTTCTCATTTTATGAGCATCACATGGAGTGTGGAGAGGTCTCTGCTTACGAGATTAACATTATGGAGCTTCTTGCTTCTTTTCATCATGACTTCAGATTTGACCCATCACTTTACCCTATTTTACATAATTTCCCCATTGATTCAAGTCTCTCCCCTCCTCATCTGTTTTTTTACAAGCAAATCTCTCATAACCTCTACATGTGTCTCATCATTTCACTCTTTAGTCTAATCTCTCCCCTGCCTCACATCTATCCGTCCCCTCTATATTGCTCTCTTGTGCTCTATCAGCTGCATATGCCATTGCAACCCCCAAAAGCCCAGAGGGTGTTTGTATTCCCAGGAGGATGTAGAGGTAATTTAGCAACAGGAAAAGCTGTCATTATCTCATTTCAATCACTTAGTTAGTAGAAGTTCAAGCAGGAAGAAGGCCATTTTTACCTCATAGGAACCATTAAAGTACTCGGATCCCTCTTGTCTTCTTAGTTTTTTTTCAAACACCATAGTTTGAAAAATGTATTCAAAGGTTTGTTGAATTTAACAATTCAGTTAAATTAATGATAAAACATCTTTTCTACATAACACATGGCTTTAGCGTCAATAGCATTTTAATGACTGTTGCAAAGTGCGCCCAGTTTCAAATGTTTTCATTAGCACATGCAAATCTTTCATTAATTTTCCTTTTTCATTTGAATGGCCTTGTGACTTGTTTCATTAGAAAAACTATATTGTAAGAATTTATTGTAGTTTATATTTTCTGAAAACGTGATTGTGCAAAAGTAAAAATGTGTGTGTTCATGTATCTGTGAGCTGACGCTGCAGCGTTGAGGTCTGTAATGTGTGATGTGTTGGCTGGGCTCCCTGCCCTCCCAGCAAAGCATCTATACAAATCTCCCATCAAGCTTCTTTCTCTTTCTGTCTGTGTATGTCTTTCATTTGTTCTCCTCTCCCTTCAGCTGGCCCGATTCTTTTATTCGTTCGAATTCTCTGGGTCTTGTGTGCTCACACACTATCCCACACTGACTTTAGACACACACACACCGTGTCTAACACAATATTCACTTTGTCTGGCGTAAGGCAGGGGGTGCACTTGAAAACACAAACGTTCACATCAGCGTCCCATTCTGATCAGATTGCATTAGCTCTCTGTGTGAAGGGTCCTGTTTGTTTTTGCTTACAGCCTGTGAATTAATGAGTTTGTTTTCCTAGTTGGCTTTGCCTGGATGCTTACATGCAGACTGGTGTTAGTTGTTCTTAGGTGGAGGAGTGTAATCTGTCATCAAGTCAGATGGAGATGGTCCGGACAGATGGAATGTAAACCGTCTCCCATCCTTTCATCTTTTGGGTCTTTTCCCTCTGGTCTGCATCAGTTTCTCCCACCCTCCTCATTTATTGTAGTCTTCCCTAATGCCTTTGTCACATTCAGCTGAAGTGCTCCCAGTCCTCTGACCTGATTGAAAGTCCAGCAAAGAAAAAAAGCTAAACAAAGGAATGAGACTGGAGGGTTTAGTACACAAGCCAATGAGATTTTTTTACCTTTTTTTCTTTCTTTTTTTTTTTTAAACTACAATGTATATATGTTTGCACTAGGCAGTCAAGAATATTTTAGAGGTTTTTTTGTGCTTTAGTAATAGCTGACATGTGTTTAAATCTAAAATGCTTGTGTAAAATGCTAATGTACAGTCAAGAGAGCCTTTAGCCTGGAGGCTCAATAGCAAATATTTAAAGTTTACCGTACATGAACAATAGTCCAGATAGCTTAATAAAACTGGAAAAAATGCAGGAATGGCAAGAAACAGACTTTAAATAGGGTTCTGATCCAAGTGAAAGTAGTGATCCTTTATTGATTTCAGCTGTACAATACACCTTAGTTAGAAAAAGATGTATCTAAAGAAGCATTTCAAAAGCTCTCTAAGCTTTTGGGTCAAAATCAAAGTGCTGCGTTGTTTTTTTAAGCCTTGTATGTGAGTTTTTGTCCAAGAATGATCCACTGGATCTTATTATGCATGTGTTTATGTGTTGCAATTACTTTTTTATAGTGGCAGTGATATTTAAATGGATCATATGAGGGTGAACAACTTCTACTTTCCATTCCAATCATGGAACATTTAAGTATGGAGGGTATGATTATTGTCCTTGTGCTAACAAAATGCTAAGAAACATCTAAGTGAGTATCAGGTATTTTAAACATGCATACACGAGGTCATTTAGAGGTTTAAATTTAAAGATGAACTTTGAACTGCTGCTGTTTCACAGTTCACAGCTGTCCTGCGGTGCACCAACTGGAGCGCATCACCCCTTGTTTACCCACATCTGCAAACCTTTCAACACGGAAGGAGGCAAATCCTACATTTACTGAGATCTGCTGCTGCATATGGGATGATGTTCATGCAAAGTTTTATTTGGATTGGCACACAGATTAATGAGGAGATAGGGTACAAACAGACACATAAATACGCTACCGTACAGTCATTATAGTAAGGAAAGAAGAAGAACATGTGAAAATGACTCAGTTCTGTTGAATGTATTGCAGCCTCATAGATTGCAGTCTCTAACTTGTGAATGATGCAGTGCAGGACTGTTCTTTTCACTCTGATGTGTGTCTGCTTCTCTCTATCAGCCCATCAAAGCAGCTGCACCATCACTTGCTAGGCCAACAAACCATGTGCGTAATTTCCTCAGACACACAGCCTTCATAACTGCAGGATGTGGCAGACAGCAGAGTTTTAATTTAACAACTTGATAGAAGAAGCTGTAAAAGTCACCTATGTATAGAATTCTGAAACCAGGATTCAGGCAAGAGTTCGGTACACAGCAGGAAAATTCAAGGACTTTTCTTTGAGTTTCTCTTTTTACCTTGTTACTTTGAAACAGTGGTGTTTAGTGTCTTAATGAAAAGTTGAAATGGACAAGCTCATGTGTTACTAATCACGAGTGCTGAAAGTCAAAGTCAGCCTCTGTTTCTGTTGTTGCTGAGATAAATTCAACCTGGTTTCTTCAACATTGAGTGAGTTCACTGTACTCAATTGACTTCCAAAGTAACCAGAGCTCAATCCAGCTACATCTTTGGGATGTAGTGGCCAGTAAATCTGAAGCTACTGTGTGACGCTATCCTATAATTATTCGGTAAAATCTCTCAGAAATGTTTCCAGCACTTTGTTAAATCTGTGCGAATGAAGAATTAACGCAGTTCTGAAGTCAACAGCAGGTACAACTGGGTATTGGCAAGGTGTACCTAATGAACTGCCCAGTTACTATAAGCAGTAAACTGTTCCTAACCCTGCAATTACCAAAAAAAGCACACAGCACATTAAACATCCTATCAAAACAGCATGTAACTGTTGTCCATGTTTGTTCAAATGGGTCAGAGTGGGCTGTTCATGTTATCCCACAGACAGCCTCCAGCAATCAAAAAGCAAATATTGTTTTAAAACATTGTTTTGGTATATGTAACCGAAAGCTAAGCTTTCACATTTGTTAGTCGTGATATAAGCTTATCAACTAAAACAAGGTACTTTCAGCTTAAATCATAAGAGTGATGTAGAAGTTGCCTCAAAGATTTACACGTCTGACACTGTGAAATTATTTGCAAATGTGATTGGTTGAAGGGTGTGGATTAACATTTAAGCACAAATGCATGTATGCAAA